GTAGTAGTAGTTAGTTAGTACTACTATAACTACTCTCTCTCTCTCTCTCTCTCTCTCTCTCTCTCTCTCTCTCTCTCTCTCTCTCTTTGTGCGGGGGAGCGCTGCAGCAGCTTTTGCACATGAAGCAGAAAACACGCTGCTGCAGGGAATGGGAAGGGATCAACACAAAGACAAGAGTGAGGGAGAGAGAAAGATAACACTACCATACATTCAACTCCTGAAGGTTGACAAAGATGGAGTACAATCTACAGCAACTCTGCATAATTACATGTAGCTAACCACATCAAAGACAAAAAAACAGGAGGAGCTGTTAGCTAGAAATGCTTTCTTCTTCTTCGACATAAATTGCTCGTTCATGATCATGATTCATCTACACGCTCATGACTGCAGATGTATCGGACTGTCAAGAACACGGACAAACCAGCAGTTTCTTCAGGTAACAAACAGCCACATATCACCTCTTCCATCACGTCCGACGAATAGGTCGCTGTTTCTTCGATTCGAGCGTGCTCCAAGTTCATCGCTGCCTTTTGTTATGTAGGCCAATCCGACGGGTTCGAGAACGGGTCAACCGGAGAGATCTGTGACGACAATTCACCCGACAACCCAGATCAACGTGGACCGGGATCGACGGCGGCGAAGATGATGCAGCATGGTGTCGGTCTCTGGAGCAATTCTTCGAGGTGCCGATAGTTTCCTGTCTTCACATTCGTTCTTCTTTATCAGTAGTTTGCATTAGCAACCAAATCGCCGGTAACCGTGTGCATGGTAACATAAATGCCGATCAAACTGCTAACACGGTGCTGAATCACCTTCACCAAATTCTTCTATTCCTCTCGAGGCTAACTCGTTCTCAGAATCAGTGGCATAGCATACTAGGCGTAGAGTTGGGACATGTTGTTTGGGTAATAGGCTTGCATGTATAGATATCTGAGTTACCACTTGAGATCCTCTTTCCAGTCCAGGAGACCTATGCGGCAAGTAAATGCCGTAAAAGATGTGCGGCAAAGGTACTCGTAACATGTCAGGGGAAGGTTGAAAACCGAGTCTTTGGATTTTGAATGCTCCAGCGTAAATGACATGGATGCGTAGGAAGAGGTGCGTGACACAAAAAAGCACAACACTCTCTCGTGTGATCCAAAAGGAAACATATCGCTGCATGTTCATGACATCAGTCAGCTTTCCGCAATTTCTTGCGTCCATCGTTTACCTTTTCCCCTGCCAAACAAGCCCAAACGTTCATTACTGATGCGATTTTGTTCATGGCTGCCTACTTGTTTGATTGCTATTCTATTCCTTCGAGTGTGGTTTCTGATAGCCAGTGGACAGGATCAAAGTTGCTTCTCATCGAAGTCATGGGAGGGAGCAGCACACGATGATATGGCTAAGAATGCCTATCTAATTTCCCCTTTCCAGCATCGATCCTATGGACCCTTTAGGCTTGCTGCTTTAGCTTTCCGCTATTGATCTTCGCACAAGTGCTGGGAAACGGCAGCATGCATGTCATGGCTTTGTTCCATCTGTCGAGGATCTCATGAACATTTGAGCCTTCCTTCATGATGATGCTATGATCCGTGTTCAGTAGTTCAGAAAAGACCCAACTCTCTCATGCCAAGACAAAGGCTCATCTGAAAAGAACTGTACCTAAAGTGACAGATGATGCCGTGCCTTCTTTTTGTTCTCTGAGGCTCGAGAATGGCCCCTCCATCATCTCATGTGGGCATATTTTCTCTCTCTTTTTAACGAACAAAGGTTAAGCCATTTGAAGCTTCCTTGCAGCTTCTTCCCGAGAGGCTAATTGGCAGTGACATCTAAAAGAACTCGTGATGAACATTTTTCCTATCATCATACTCTTGACTGCCTACAGCTGACACTGATTTCCATGTTCTTTTTGCGGCAGGGGTGGATGCTTTACCGGCACGCCTGGCGAATCTACCGCAGGGAGTATGCATTTGTTCAAGGTATACACCAGCCGAATTGCCTCGACTAAATAGAGATATTAGCTCCATCACCGTCGTGGGCTGCACTGAGCTGATGCTAAGCTGTTTTTTGTTTTCCTTCCTGCAGAAGGACCTGCGGTCGAAAAGCTTGGAAATGTATTCGGATATGAACTCATCATGCCTGTCGGAGACATTGAGCTCAAGCATGCCCAATCTCGAGTTCACCTTGGGGAGGTCACAATGACCTAAAAGGACACCAAGTATTTGTTGCCAAATAAAGTGCTCAAAAGAAGGAAAAAAAAAAAAGGTAAAAGGAAAGTGAAAGTGACAAGAGACACCCACCACCGAGGCGAAGGCAAGAAAAAGGGAGAAGAGAGAGAGAAAGTATGTGGGCATGTCTGCTGGGAAGCAAATTAATCTACAGCTACGCTCTCCACAATGACATAAGTGTTTGTTTCCCTATGGCTCGGGACGCATTATATATATATGTATATATACTCTTTTTTCTTGCTTTCTTAAAAGCCAAAAAGTCCAGCCTTGGTTCATTCTCATGCGTGTGCACATGCTTTTCTTTGTGTTCTCCCGAGAAAGGGAGAAGAGGAGGAGGCAATCACGAAACTAAGCGTCCTCCAACACACGGATGAGACGGTGCTTTACTGTAGTCAATGAATGTTAGAATGACTAGTGCTCATGATTTTGCTGCTAAGAGCAGCTGTTAAAGAACTTGCGGTCGCAATCATGTGGTAAGCATTCCTTCCTCCGTGGTGATGAAGGGCGGCTTTGATTTCTAACTGGTTTCTGTCTTCGTTGACAAACTTGCTCTATGTCAGACTTAGTATTTGTCCATGGAAAGAAACATGAAGGTTCGGAAAGCATAGACTTACCCATCAATACGAGGTGACCACCGGAGATGTTAATATATTGCAGCAAGTAACTCGCGAATGGGGTAGTCAAATCCCATCACGTAGCTTAGGACTAGGGTTTTTTTTATATCATCGTTACTTTGTTAGCTGAAGTCAGCCTCTCTACATCGAGCGAGGACCATCGCCTAGGTTTAGAATCCTAGAGTGGCAGGCATCTACTTGTTCGCTTTGCATTAAAAAGAAAGGTACGCATACGATCTCATGTGCACATTGGAAGACCAAATGGAGATTCAAATGAAAATTAAAAGCAACAGGAGGAGCAAAGCATGAATGGTTTTAAGATGGTAGAAGCCATGTCAAATCACCTGCGTGCGTGACATGGATGGTCGAGAGGAGGAACAAGAAATGATGCTATTGAAAACAGTGGTTGGGTGTTCGGCAGCACATTCTGTGGCAGCAACTCTGGGCACGTATGCGAGGGAGGGATTCCAGGGACACAAGTAATCGATGTTGTAGTTGTACATGATCCTAATGTCAGCAGGGTGGGGTGGAACACAAGGAGGAGAGCATGTCGTGTCCCATCACGTAAGTAACAAATGTATGGCAATGAGCTGGATGATTGGCCTGTGCATGTCGAGGAGACCTTTTTTTTGTTTTCTGACATAACCTGTCATCTTCTCCGTGATGTGCATTTATGTCCTATTAATGTCCCGATCTGGCAGTCGATGCCGCAATGATCTGATTAGCAAACAACTGAGATACGTGTGGATCGCATTCTCCTACGATCACATCTGAATTGTCCTCGTCGACAAGTCAACCATGCATGCTGCAAGATGAATGAAATCGAAGCACAAGTTCAGAATTGTTTTCGAGCACTTGGATGATGAGCTAAAGAAGGTGGAGAGTTATTCGTTTAGGCAAATAAAAGCAGGGAGTGATTTGAATTTTCCTCGATAAATTCAGAAAAGCAAGTTGGAAGAAGAAGTATTAGAACAATGATGATGATGATGATGAAACCAATGAATGGAATGCAATGCAATAAATACCCTCTTTTCGCTTGCATCTTCGGTTGCCTCTACCCAGAAAGAGACGCAAGCATCACATGTATAGAAAGAAACAACAGAGGTGGCAAAGATGGCTTTTCTTCATGTGGTCGCCTGCTACTTACCCACCCACCCCCACCTTGTCTGCAAGTCATACACTTTGAACAATCATTTTCTGCTTTTTCTTTGGTTTTGTAAGACGCTTTATCTCTGGTCTCCAGTTTCACTCCACGCTGCAATGCAAATGATGAGATTAATTACTCCCTGCTGCTCTCCAAGTCAACACTGCTATGAACAGAAGAAGAAGAAGAAGAAGAAGAAGAAGGTTAAATCTCACTGTGATCATCATTCATTACTCGAATACATACATACATACATACATAGAGAAGAAATTACTTTCTGCAGCTGCATCAAATCCTACAGAGAAGCAATCGTACAAAACGCTGTGCTGTGCGAGTCACAAGATGCTAATTCCCATGTCATGGCTTCCAAGTTGCTAAACTACAAACATAAAAACAGAAGGATGTTTTATGGATTCTTTGTCTTCTTTTAGACTGTTACTGTACGACCACTGCATGCATGCATGCACGATTTGTTTTGTTGAGGCCAGCTTACATGGTCCAACAGGCAACTCTGTACTTGTACATGATCCACCCATCATCGACTCGGGTGATGATGTTAGAAGCAATAAACTAATGATATATGCAGCTCTTTCTGTAATCAAATTGCGTCCCAGTGGTCTCACCTCTACACATATATGGTGGATACATGACATCTTACAGTAGTAGCCTGAGCCACCTGGTTAATTCAGAAAGTAAAAGATAAAAGCTTTTGCATAGCAAAGTTACTTGAATGAGAAGCAAATAAAGCTTCCTTTTTTACCTTTTGTTCCTTTAGGAGGAGAGCAGGTGGATGATAAAAGACCTCTTTTCAGAGGTCATCGTACATCAGCATTTGGATAGCTTTTAAGACTTGAGATTATTTCTCTCTCTCTCTCTCTCTCTCTCTTCTTTTCTTTTACTGACACTCCTGCTGGTGGCCTCAAAAGAAAAGCAAAACCTTTTCTTTTACTTCCCTCCCGGACCTGTAGAACTCAAATTATAAAAGAATGATTGTCACATGATGATATCTGCGTTCGCTCGTAAGGTTCCAAACCTCCTGCCTTTTTTTTTTTTTACTCTCGGCTTCTCATGCTTCTCCCCCTCTTTCTTCGCTGGCGGCAAAGACGAGGAAGAGAGGGTGAGAGCGACAGCAGCGTGTGGTCAGTCCAGTCCAGTCCAGTCCAGTCCGTCCGCCCGTCCTTGGTGTTGACGCTGTGGAGGGATGCATCAGAGCCTGTCGGCCCGAGGGGGGGGGGCCCATTGAGGTGACCCCTCTTCGATCCCTTGCATTCACCAGTCCTTTGCCGTGCTGTAGCTCTTCCCCATGACTCCCCTCCATAGACCACTGTGCTCTCTCTCTCTCTCTCTCTCTCTCTTATTCTGTGTGGTGGGCCCGAGTCAACGTTGGGAGGCTCCTTGGTCAACACGGGGCATGGTGGCCTATCCATAGTGTAGGTGATGTCCTCGTCAAAATGGTGTAACAGAGGTCAGAGAAGGCTCGTTGACGATTTCCCCTCTCCGGTGCAGCTGCGTTTTGGGAACGCAAGCCTTTGGTTCCTGCACCTGAGGGTGAGATGTCAGATACACAGGTCATCTTAAAAAGAGGAGGAGATCAAGCAAACACCACGGCTTACCTCTGCGGTGATTCAGACTCCTCCTATTCATTGCATGGAAGAATTGAAACCTCGATTGTGATTTGTCCTGGAAACAAAATCCCCCAACATATTATTTATTATTATTATTATTTTTCTGTCAGTCGGGAGTAGGGGGCGGGTGGCACTAGTGGTTCACGTACAGAATGTTACAAGGAAGAAGAAATGGATTGGCTCTCAAGCTGAAGACGTGGAAGCCGGAACACTACATCTGAAGGGCTTTCAAGTGGACCGCATCAAACAAACATGGACGTGAAGGATTTCATATGCCAATGCAGCAAAACCAAAGAGAAATCCAAAATTAAGGAGATTAAGAGAGTAAGGGGGGTGGGGACGAAAAGAAACAGCATGGAAAGGGACGCATGAGGAGCGCGAGAGGGAACAGTAGGCTCAGGTCAGCCCATCCCTCGGGGGAGTGGGGGGGGTCCAGAGCAGGAGCGCGAGGACCGAGGTGGGGAGGAAATGATATGGCACTCCATTGCTTTATGATTGGGAGCTGCCCGGGCTCGGCGTCCCATGCTTGTTGTCCTGGGTGGGGCTGTGAGAGAGAGAGAGAGAGAAAAGAGATAGGGGGGCATGCACAAGGCAGGCAGGCAGGCAGCTCCTCCTCCTCCTCCGCCTCGCTTCCCACACCACGGGTTGATGATGGCGACCACACCGTCCCCGTCTGCCTCCGGCCTTCCCGTCGCTGTCGGTGCCGGGGTCCAAGGCAGCGTGGTTCCCTGTCAAGAAAAGAGAGAAGAATAAGAGAGGAAAACACACAAAAGTCAGAGCGATTTCCCAGAGTTGTCATGCATCCATGTCTTCTCTTTCTCGAGCAATCCATCGAGGACGCAGAAAAGAGAGAAGGAAAACAAGCAAAAAATAAAAAAAGTAACAGAACGCTGAAGCGCTATTGATGATGCACACATAGGAGAGCAGTAGTAGTTTGTCTTTCCTTTGCAAGCATTCCTGTCGGGGCATGAATAAAGAGGTTCAATCTTCCAATGTAGGTAGGCTTCCTCCGTTTCCCCTTTTCCTTTTGCAAAATATATTTCTGACTAAGTGATTATTTTCCTTCTTTCGCAAAACAGATTTTACAAAAATATGGTCTGGATTAATCTTTTTTTTTTTTTGGGAGACAAAATGCACAGATCTAATTTGCCAGCCCATGAATGGTCTTATATGCTCCACAAATTCAAGGATTCGGCTTCCAACAGACACAAATCTACAAGAATTTGAGGAATTTATGTCATCAAACAGCAAACTTACAGTGCCTCCCTTCGATTCTTAACCTGTAAGGGGAAAGAACAAAAAGTCAAGTTTTAGTGGTACTAAGAAAGAAACATAATTTTCTTATTTATAGAGAACATACTTTTAACAAATATTATGGTGTTCCTACATATAATGTTCCTTGCAACCTATCACTTCCAACAGTAGTTGATTGATGATCAAAAGTTTCGCAGGACAGGTTTCAGCATGAATTTACAAGACTAGCTGAATCAGACATGGAGAATCCAGTATAATATGAAAAATATAGAGCAATAACAACTTTCACCAGGAGAATTTTATAAACGAGAAAAGAAAGGAGAAATGATGGGCAACCGTTCCTAAATATGGTCTCAGAGACTCTGAGCATGCACAATCTGTGATAGATTATTATTCCGTACATCTGGAGCTAATGTTGCAACCAACTGATGTATATGTTACAACAAACATAGTATTTAAAGCAGAGAAACACAGAAATATAGAGAGTATAGAGTTTGCATAAAACCTTGTGGCCTTTCTTGAAACCGCAAACTCTGAGATAATTGCCGTCATTCTAGATATACATGGTCTGCGAGTTGTGGCCAACCACCAAATGTCACCATGACTTGCAATCCATCTAAACATGATACGAAGCTCGTAAGATGCCATGATTGTAAATGAAATTTATTTAACTAAACTGTTTTTACCTCCCTGTTCATGGGTTATGTAAACCCTTTGCAACACAAGAGCCTAATAATAATTTCGACAATGATGTCAATCTTATTACAGTATGCAGGAATCGGTGTTCACCTGACGAACATAATCCTGTGCTTGTGGCAGTTCTCACACTAGTCTAGGGTTAATAATAGTAAGACGACCATTGATGATCAGGTGTTCATGGCTATGTAAGCATGTGTTTCTTTAACATGATTCCACTAGAAGAGGTCTCAGCTCAACAGAGACTTCAGTGTCATTATCATTTAATTCACCATGGGATACCTATAGCATTAATCTGAAAACAGCGATCACAAGAGAATTGATTACAAATGTTTTCACAGCCCACAACCAAAACTCATGAGTTTAAGGACAGTTATCCCAAGCCCCAAATAGAAATCGAGATGCCTAAAACCAACAAAATTTACATTCAAACTGCATTTAAGATTTTCAATGTTGGTTAGTGTGCCCAAGGATGGGAAAACAAGTTACAAGTCATAATATCACATCATTTCCATATATGCTGATTTTTTTTATGTTTTAGACTATTATATGATGATCATAATACACAGGTTCCACAAATCAACTATAAGATAAGGTGGAAAAAAATAGAAGCAGTTCACAAAAATAACGGAACCATTGAATTCAGTATGGGATGAAAAATATAAGAGCATTGTCTTAAAAAATTAACTCATTACGCTTCTAATGTGCCTAATGAGCATGACCTATCAATCATAAACTTGATCAAATAAAAGATGTCAGGTTTCAATACTGCCTAAATTTGGCACTTTTATGTCTTCATCCCATGGTCGTTGCAAAAGGAAGTCTCTCTTGCCCTTTTGTTTAAAGGGTCCAGAGACCATACAGCAAAATGAGAAAAGGAAAGTGAAAACAAAACATATGTGCACTGGTCCAATCTCTTATTGATAAATTTAAGAACCAAACAGTTTTGTTCCTACTTGTCAACCAATGTATAATAAAAAAAATTACAGAAGGCTAGTAGTGACACAATAACAGAACCTATGGATTAGTAGCAGACACCAGTGAGTTCAAACAGGTAAACCATGCTCCAAAGTGCTAGATGCAGGCGTTTTTCAAATATTATGGAAGGAATTGCAGAGTGGCATATGATAACTCAACAACGTCCAGTAACTGAGTACAAATTACATGCTCATTGTCGTTAAGAGATTTAAGTTCATTATATATAACATCTAGCATGAATGTGCAAGACAGAGGAAGCACTTCTCAGTGTAACTGAATTATGGAAAAGGTCTTCCTATGGCCGTCAGTTATCTTCCATATACTGGATCCAACAAAGCATTCATGTTAATGATGTCAAATATTGCTTCATTCCAGCTAGTTAGTTCTCAAGGGTTACAGTACTTGCATTAAGAATCCATATATTTGTTCAGTCAATAATTATGGTCACTAACCCACTAAAAACATGAAAAGGAAAAGTAAAAAACAAATAAGGATGTCAAGAACAAGAGAAAAGTTCATGGTGTTGGCATAGCTTTGCAAGAAGACTTTCATCTGGGGGTATCGCATCACCATCGGTATGCTGCAAGCAGTAACAATACCATGATATAGACCCCCTGGGGCACGGGCACTGGAAACATGTAATTATGCATATGAATTTGCTTTTATTCCACTTGCTGTAAGTTAGAGAGGAAAATAAGCAAAATTCATTTAATAAAACATGAAGGATGAATGACCAACCAACCAAGGAAGATACAGAAGAAATCAAGATTCTGTTACTTCCAATATAATTCTTTATACCAAAGGATTTTATAGGCTTGACAAAGACAACAAAAAGGAAATGTGTTAACACATAGGTAAGGAAGTATGTATAACAAATAAGAAAGAAAATATACCATGTGAGAAAATCTACTGTTGGAAATGAACTAGACACAAGCTAGAATCCTGAAGAAATAGAAAGTGGGTGTTGCGAATTTGTTAGTTGAATGCTGCTATGCCAACCTTGCCAAAAGGAACAATTGATTCAACCAACAACAGTTGAGCAGCATGCGCCAAAGACATCAAATAGTGACTGGGAACAGCAGTGAAGAGACCAGCAAGCAAATATATGCCTCTTTAAGCACCAAAAAATGCTAGTATAAACCAACAAACAGAGCATGTCATTTACAATTCTAACATAGACCAACTTCCTGTAACTCGCCATTATTTTGTTTAAATGATTGCACACAGTAACCAAATCATATTTTTATTATGATTTGGTTAACTGCTACACTTAACCAAATCATAATAAACTTCATTTAGTACCACTCACAGCATGATATATCAGTGGCCCTATTGAACGTATCAACTTGTGTATAATCAGAAGAAAACCCACAAACAATTAACAGGGAAGAAGACTGACACTGCTGATCGTCAATGGCAAAAAATTTAAATGTTAAGCAAGTATGGTACAATACCTAAGGTGTTCTTGCTCTGATGTAACCAAAGTGCATTAATTTATCATATAAAGCCACAATACCATTCACCTATTGTCTTCCAAAAGAATAACACTCCTATATAGCAAATTGATGATGGTACATCCATTTTGATAAACTTTGTAAATAAGAGTATAGATATTTAGTGACATCAAATTAGTAAATTCGGATTACAAGAAATAATCAGTAAGAAATGACCAACTCAACCAGAATTTACATGCTATTTACCTTTTTCATCAATCAAATGAAAGTCTGTTTGGCTTATTATTGCTTCTTACAATTTTTAGTCGGAGAAGGAGCCATGCCGTTTTTCAATCACATAATTTGCTGAATCTTGTGAGTCAAATCGAAAAACCCAGACCCCTTACACTTCCCACCCTCAGCTGCTGCAACTTCAAAATGGTACCAAATTTCACAAACATCGCATATAATAGTTATTCCTATGCCAACTAATGCCCTTAATCATATTCCAAAAGCTTTCAAAATGATATACATGATAAAATAGCATCACCGAGAAAGATATAAGCACGAGTCATAAACAACTTTCAAGAGGACCATAAAGTCCACCTCCACGAACAGATCACTTGCATCTAGGTCTAGGACCACATGAATTGAATCAATGATCCACAGTAAGCATTGCTGTCATTCATATTTCATACCGCAAAATCTAATGTTATGACTAAAAGTAAACGATCCTCTAAAGGTGGCTAACACTTAGTGCAAAATCGTAGTGAAGAATTAAGGTGCTTAACGAACAACTTGTACATATGTAGAACGAATGATATGAAGAATTCGAAAGAAACAATGACATCCTTATGGCAAGACTATAGTCACTATATTATGCATCATGCAACAAATTTTGCCTAATTAACCAAGAAAAGAAGCAACAACCAACAGGAACAAATTGGAGAAAAACGATACAGGTGGGAAACAGACATCAACAGATACAGGATCATTGCTCCTTTAACATGACTAACCTAAATAATTGATATAAAGTACCAAAAGCTGATTCCTAGAAAGTGATTTTTCAGAGTCCACGGAGATGATCACATACCAAATACCATAAAGAGGATAATACAGGAAGATATCTTTACCGGATGATAGAAAAGGTGTCCAAAAGAAAACACAGGAAGTTATAATAGAGAATTCATCTCATCTCCGCAGAGTAGCGTAAAGCAACCAGAGAAGTCAACAAGTTCGTTCTATCGATGACATGATCCCACGAGAAGAATCCAAGGAAAGGAATCCATAAAAGGAAATACCAATCGTTACCCATTACAAAAACAAAAGCAAGCACCAATCGCAGAGGAACAACTAAAAAAGAATTCCCCAAAATATTTCAAGAAACAGATCTCACGAGAAAACGAATCCATGGAGGACGAAGACAACGATCATCCCCAAAACAAAAACATTCCGGATTAAAGCATGTACCAATCAAAAGAGAACGCAATTGAACGCAAAGAATTCCCAAAAAACGATGACATGATCTCACGAGGACGGTTCAATAAGAAGATCCAAAAAAGAAGGTAGCAATCATGCCCCGAAACAAAAGGGCTCCGTCTAAAAGCAGATGCCATGAAAGAACAAGCACCCACACCGAATTCCCAAAAGGATTTCAAGAAACAGACCTGAGGGACACGTTCGGTCGATGCAGAACTCAACGGAGGATACGAGGTCGACGACGGCGCCATCGCATCCTCGAGTAGTCACCACCGCTACTCCGGCCGCTTGCACATGCTCCTCCTACCGGCCCTTGCAACGCGCGTGGAGAAGGCGATCCATCGTAATTAAAATTACTCTCTCTCTCTCTCTCTCTCTCTCTCTCTCTCTCTCTCT